CATATCTTTGCATTTTCATCATCAAGCGCTGAATCCGTGGCGTCATCTCATTCAGATTCTTTTTAATTATTGAGACCAGTGGACGGTGATCGGTTTCCACTGTAAAAGACGACAGTCCATAAATGTAAGAATGGAACCGCTCCAGTCCAAAAGCCAGACCCAAACACTCTTTTTCAATCTGAGCGTATCTGCATTCTGCTTTTGTCATGGCTCGCGACGCATAAGCCACTGGTTTCCAGTGTCTTTCCTCATCTTGCAAAAGTACCGCTCCAATACCATCTTTGGATGCGTCTGTAGATACTTTCAGCTTTTTGGTATGGTCATAGTAAGCCAAGACTGGAGCTGTGGTAAGTGTCTCCTTTAACCTTTTTAACTCCAGCTCATGTTTGGTTGACCATTCAAAGTCACAGTCTTTGTGCAAAAGTTCTCGAATGCAGGACGTCTTCGCTGTGAGGTTGGGAATAAACTTGCCTATGAAATTGACCATTCCCATAATGCGCAAAACTCCTGTCTTATCCGTTGGTCTTGGCATATTCAGGATTGCTGTTATCTTGTCCTGGTCAGGTTGCACACCTTTTGCTGTGAGTTTATCTCCGAGGAAAACAATTTCCTGCACTGCAAACTCACACTTGGCTCGGTTTAGCTTGAGGCCAAACTGTTGAATACGCTTTGTTTAATCTTTGATTGTGCTCCTGGAGAGTCGAACCCCATATTATAATGTCATCTATATAGACTCGGACTCCGTTTAAGCCTTCAATGATTTGTTCCATTGCTCTGTGGAATATTTCTGGAGCTGACTTTATTCCAAATGGAAGTCTCAGAAAACAATACCTCCCAAAGGGTGTATTAAAGGTACAGTACTTTGTGCTGTCCTCATCCAATTGCAACTGCCAAAAGCCTTGAGATGCATCAAGTTTAGTAAAATAGCTTGCTCCTGCCATTTCACTGATTATTTCCTCACGTGTTGGTATTTGGTAATACTCCCGCTTTATGTTCTCATTTAAGTCTTTTGGATCCATACATGTTCTCAACTCGCCATTCTTTTTCTTTGTGACTACCATTGAGTTGACCCAATCTGTAGGTTCCTGAACCTTTTTAATAACCCCTAAATTGGTCATTCTGTCAAGTTCTTTTTTAAGAGAATCACGCAGTGGGGCGGGAACCCTGCGAGGTGCATGTACAACTGGCTGTGCTCCTTCTTTTAGCTGTATTTTATATGTAAAGGGCAGTGTACCAAACCCTTTGAACACATCTGAATACTGCTTTACTATTTGATCTGTTTCAGATTTGGAACTTTTATCAATGCAGTACACTCTCTTTACCAGCCCTAACTGTTCACATGATTTATCTCCTAACAGTGATTCACATTTTTCATTAACCACTGAAAATATCACATTGTGTACTTTACCTTTTACAGTTACATTCAATTTGCATGAGCCGAAACACTCTATTACTTTTCCATTGTAGTCTTTCAGAGCTGCTTTCTTCACATACAAATGTGGCTTTATCTGCATTTCTCTAATATCAGACATACTAATCAGATTAGCTTTTGCACCAGTGTCCAGTCTCATTGTTATTATAGCTCCATTTATTTGCAGAGGAGCCACCCATTTATCTGCAACACTGTTCACATTTTCCTGTTCATTTTCAATATTTACCATACCCACAAAGAACGTATCACTTAGATCTGTGTCAGCATCGTCCACCACGTTTACATTCTTGCCCCTTTTTCCCTCTTTCTTTTTGGAGAAACATTGCTTGGCAAAATGATTCTTCCCGTGGCAGTAAGAGCACACTTTACCAAAAGCGGGACATTGCCTTGGCTTGTGTTGAGTCGCGCAGCGCTTGCAGAAGAACGTGACGTCCTCGGTCCGCTGTGCTGTGCGCTGCTGGCGGCGTCCTCTCGATACTGCACCGACCACCGCTCCGTCACTCACAGGTGCTACGGTGGGCATCTCACTGAAGGATTTTATATGCTTTTGTGACAGTTCACTTGCTTGGCAAATCTTAATGGCAGCCTCGAGTGTCAAATCCGTCTCGCGAAGAAGTCTTTCTCTTAACTTTTTGTCTTCAACGCCAAAAACGATTTGATCCCTCACAAGTGAGTCTTTCAATGGCCCAAAACCACACAACTGCGCCTTTAGCCGTAGTGCGGTCAGAAAACTGTCAAAAGGCTCATTTTGACACTGCACACGAGACCTAAACATATATCTTTCATATGTCTCGTTTTTCTTTGGAGTACAGTGAGCTTCAAACTTAGCGAGCACCACATCCAGTTTTTCATTGTCTCCCTGTGCATCAAAGACGAACGTATTGTACACTTCAATGGCGTGCGGCCCTGCTAATGTTAGCAAAAGCGCTACCTTCCTCGTGTCAGGCTTGGTTTCCAGTCCCATCACGGTGACATAGAGGCTAAACTGCTGCTTGAAGCTTCGCCAATTTTCGTCCACATTTCCCGTCAACTTCAAGTTTTCTGGCGGTTTCAAATCCATGTCGACTTCTCCGGCGGCTTCTCAGCTACTTAGTTTACTCCTGGTACCATGTTGTGTTCGTGTTTTAATAATCCAAACGAGTTGTACAGGGAGCTACTTTTAATCATGTTCATCCCGAGGTCATTACAGCACTGTCTGCATAACGTCATGCATATCAACAACGCCACCTTGTGGTAACCTCCAGTAATCTACTGATCATAACACTGTTGTCATGGAAACATGTGTTTATACTGTAGTTCTGGTTTATTCACCAACTATCAACAAAGACCATCAACAATACCATCAAGATAAAGACTGATGATGATAAGCCTCCATCATCCACCAATCAGGAGCCTCCATCATCCACCAATCAGGAGCCTCCATCATCCACCAATCATCTCTCACTATTCTCACAAAAACACACACATTTGGGAGAGTCTTGGTAGAAACCTTTGGAACTGGTGAATATTGTGAAAGTGTGTGATTGGAAGTGTTGTGTGTCCTACAATTTGTGGTGCATTAAAAACAAGCAGGGTTTGTGTGCAGCAAGGAAGAGGTGTGTGTCCTCCTGCTGCTGCTCCACTCCTGCTGCTCCTCTCCTGCTGCTCCTCTCCTGCTGCTGCTGCTCCTCTCCTGCTGCTGCTCCTCTCCTGCTGCTCCTCTCCTGCTGCTGCTGCTCCTCTCCTGCTGCTGCTCCTCTCCTGCTCCACTCCTGCTGCTCCTCTCCTGCTGTTCCTCTCCTGCTGCTCCACTCCTGCTACTGCTGCTGCTCCTGCTGCTGCTCCTCTCCTGCTGCTGCTGCTCCTGCTGCTGCTGCTCCTGCTGCTGCTCTGCTCCTGCTCCTGCTGCTGCTCCTGCTGCTGCTCCTCCTGCTGCTGCTCTGCTCCTGCTGCTGCTCTCCTGCTGCTGCTCCTGCTGCTGCTCCACTCCTGCTGCTGCTCCTCTCCTGCTGCTGCTCCACTCCTGCTGCTGCTGCTGCTCCTGCTGCTGCTCCTCTCCTGCTGATGCATCTCCTGCTGCTGCTCCTGCTGCTGCTCCTCTCCTGCTGATGCATCTCCTGCTGCTGCTCCTCCTGCTGCTGCTCCGCTCCTGCTCCTGCTGCTGCTCCTGCTGCTGCTCCTCCTGCTGCTGCTCCTCCTGCTGCTGCTCCTGCTCCTTCTGCTGCTCCTTCTGCTGCTCCTGCTGCTGCTCCTCCTGCTGCTGCTGCTCCGCTCCTGCTCCTGCTGCTGCTCCGCTCCTGCTCCTGCTGACCCATTTCTCTGGTGAGATTGTTTGGTTTCATATATTTATAGATTTCTCGCAGTAAAACTTTATTATGTGTGTTGTTTATTATTGTTATATTTGTATTTGCTTCATTATTTCTAGTATAAACAACTTCAAATAGAGACGACAGTGGATCAGTTGGTAGAACATTGGTCTCTGAACCTGATGGTTGTGGGTTCGATCCCCCACGACCCATGTTATCTGCTCCCACTGTGTCCTTGGGCAAGACACTTAACCCCACATTGCCTGAAGCCCCCACTGTGTCCTTGGGCAAGACACTTAACCCCACATTGCCTGAAGCCCCCACTGTGTCCTTGGGCAAGACACTTAACCCCACATTGCCTGAAGCCCCCACTCTGTCCCTGGGCAAGACACTTAACCCCACATTGCCTGAAGCCCCCACTGAAACACCAAGGCCGTATCTTTGTCAAAGCAGCAGCATCTTCCACCTGCAGGAGGATCAGTGAGGGACTGGTGCTCTGTGATTATCCCAGAAATGGAACAATAAAGGACGAGCTCTGAACGAGCACTTTCTGAAACAAAAATGTGCTCAATAAATGTGACTTTGTAAAAGACATATTTTGTTGGATTTTTTTGAAATTTTAGTTGCAAAAACCCCCCCCCCCCCCCCCCCCTCACCCATCCACTCCTCAGCCACCCTCTACTCCCCCATTCTCAACCACCCCCTCCTCCCCCCTCCTCCCCCTCCCCTCCACCTCCATGACCAACCCAACCTTCCAAACTCTCCTGTGACCCTCCCCTGCTTTCCCCTTCCCCTCTAATTTCTGAACACTGGGACAGTCCAACCAGACAAACTGAATCTGTGTAGGAATCAATCTTCTAATAATAACCCACATTGTGTCACAAGCTTCAACCAACGACGAGGGCTTTAGCCACAGAACAAACTGAAATCTATATATTCTGAGCCTCAGGAATACATTCTCTCACATCAAGCATTTTATCAGAAACAAACTTTTGTGAGATTTCTTTAAATGAATAAACAGAAGTGTTGAATCACAGATTACATTTATTTAAGTAAAGTGAAAACAAACAATACAACATCATTGAAAGTGAAAGTAAAGTGAATACAAAGAATACCTGTGAGCCCACCTCCTCCCGCCTCCTCCCGCCTCCTCCCACCTCCACCCACCTCCTCCCACCTCCACCCGCAGTGACGTAGCCTCATGCTAACTTTGTAAACACACAGCGGGAAAGCTAAATGTTCATCTTTAAATAAGAATAAAGTTTTTCCAACAATGATCCGTGGCAAAGAGCCCCATGTCCTCGATCCTATGTCCATCTGAATCCAGTCGTTTTGTTTCCTCTGGAGAATGAAAGAGAAAGATCGCTCTCCAACTAAAGCTCGAGCGAATCAATGAAAAAACTACTAGAACTGTGATGATGTTTTAAGCAGAGAAAGGTCCAAAAGTGGAATATGGGACCTTTAAGGCTTATGGGGAATATGTTATAAGTGCCACAAGTTCCTGATTGAAGCTAAAGGTGACGGACCATAAACAGGGACCATCGACAGAGTGTGACATCACCATCGACACCATCAATGTACAGATATATTGATATTTACTTTCTGCTTTTATGAAGACATTACAGCAAGTTAAGAAGAAGTATTGTATTGTCCAGCAGGGGGCGCTCTCCTCAGATCCACCACAGACACAGAGGAACCTTCAGACCTCAGTCCAGCAGGGGGCGCTCTCCTCAGATCCACCACAGACACAGAGGAACCTTCAGACCCCAGTCCAGCAGGGGGCGCTCTCCTCAGATCCACCACAGACACAGAGGAACCTTCATGCCACAGTCCAAACCCAGGAAACACAGGCTCAGAGAAGGAGGAGGTGAAGGTGTGGAGGTGGATCAGTTCTCCATCAGAGACGACCTCATAGAAGGACAGAGATCCAGCCTCAGAGTCCAGGAACACAGACACTCGACCTGAGAGATCCAAGGAGGAGGAGGAGGAGGAGGCTGTTCGTCTGTTGTTGTGATATAAACAGTAAACTCCCTTATAGACCCTCAGACTCCAGGACTGATCATTGGTTCCAAACCCACTCTCTGCTCTTGTCCCTCTGCGTCTGATTCCTCTGTGACTCACTGCGATCTCAATGTCCTCCTCCCACCTCCTCATGGTCCAGTCCACCTCCCAGTAACAGCGCCCCCTCAGGCCAGTGCTGCTCAGGACCTGTGGCTGGTCTGTAAATCTGTCCTGATGCCCTGGACACTGCTGCTCCTCTGTCCCTCTGGTCACTGTCCGTTTGTCCTCAGACAGTTTGAGGATTCTGTGAGCCGAGTTTGGATCCAGAGAAAACTCACAGGAATCTGAGGAAAAACACAAAACAAGAAGAAACATCAGCTCCAGACGCTTTAACCACAGAGTAAAGATAACTTTATATAAATAACTTTATATAAATAACTTTATATAAATAACTTTATATAAATAACTTTATATAAATAACTTTATATAAATAACTTTATATGAATAACTTTATATAAATAACTTTTATATAAATAACTTTATATAAATAACTTTATATAAATAACTTTATATGAATAACTTTATATAAATAACTTTTATATAAATAACTTTATATAAATAACTTTATATAAATAACTTTATATGAATAACTTTATATAAATAACTTTATATAAATAACTTTATATAAATAACTTTTATATAAATAACTTTATATAAATAACTTTATATAAATAACTTTATATGAATAACTTTATATAAATAACTTTATATAAATAACTTTATATAAATAACTTTTTATAAATAACTTTATATAAATAACTTTATATAAATAACTTTTATATAAATAACTTTATATAAAGTGAATGAGAAACTCACACTTCCTCAGACCTGGAACCATCCACTGTTCTCCAGCAGGAGCCAACCTGCAACACACAAGGCACTTTAGACCAGGACCAGGACCAGGACCAGGACCAGGACCAGGGCCAGGACCAGGACCAGGACCAGGACCAGGACCAAGATCAGGACCAGGACCAGGATCGAGATCAGGATCAGGACCAGGACCAGAGACCAGGACCAGAGACCAGGACCAGGACCAGAACCAGAGACCAGGACCAGAGACCAGGAACAGAGACCATAGACCAGAGACCAGGGACCAGGACCAGGGACCAGAGACCAGGACCAGAGACCAGGACCAGAGACCAGGACCAGAGACCAGGAACAGAGACCAGGGCCAGGACCAGACCAGAGACCATAGACCAGAGACCAGGGACCAGGACCAGGACAAGGACCAGGACCAGGACCAGGACCAGAACCAGGACCAGGACCAGGACCAGGACCAAGACCAGGACCAGGACCAGGACCAGGACCAGGATCAGGACCAGGACCAGGACCAGGATCAGGACCAGGACCAGGACCAGGACCAGGACCAGGACCAGGACCAGGACCAGGACCAGGACCAGGACCAGGACCAGGACCAGGACCAGGATCAGGACCAGGACAGGATCAGGACCAGACCAGGACCAGGACCAGGGACCAGGGACCAGAGACCAGGGACCAGGAACAGAGACCAGGACCAGACCAGAGACCAGAGACCAGAGACCAGAGACCAGGACCAGGACCAGAGACCAGGGACCAGGACCAGAGACCAGGACCAGGACCAGAGACCAGGACCAGGACCAGAGACCAGGAACAGAGACCAGGACCAGGATCAAGTCCAAGACCAAGACCAAGACCAGAGACCAGGACCAGGACTAGGAGGACCAGAGACCAAGATCTAGACCAGAGACCAAGACATGGACCAGGACCAGAGACCAGAGACCAGGACCAGGACAAGAGACCAAGACCTGGACTAAGGCCTAGACCAGGATCAAGACCAGGACCATGGACCAAGACCTAGACCAGAGACCAAGATCTAGACCAGGAGCAGGACCAGGATCAGGACCAGGACCAAGACCAGAGACCAAGATCTAGACCAGGACCAGGACCAGGACCAGGACCAAGACCAGGACCAGCACCAGGATCAAGTCCGAGACCAAGACCAAGACCAAGACCAGAGACCAGGACCAGGACTAGGACCTGGACCAGAGACCAAGATCTAGACCAGAGACCAAGACATGGACCAAGACCAGGACCAGGACCAAGACCAAGACCAGACCAAGACCAAAGACCAAGATCTAGACCAGAGACCAGGACCAGGACCTGGACCTGGACCAGGACCAGGACAAGAGACCTAGACATGGATCAAGACCAGGACCAGCACCAGCACCAGGATCAAGTCCAAGACCAAGACCAAGACCAGAGACCAGGACAAGAGACCAAGACCTGGACTAAGGCCTAGACCAGGATTAAGACCAGGACCAGAGACCAAGGACCAGGACCAGGACCAGAGACCAGGACCAGGACTAAGGCCTAGACCAGGACCAGAGACCAAGACCAGGACCAGGACCAGGACCAGAGACTAAGACCAGGACCTGGACCAGGACCAAGACCGGGACCAGAGACCAGGACCTGGACTAGGACCAGGATCTCGACCAGGACCAGGACCTGGACCAGAGACCAAGACCAGGACCAGAGACCAGGACCAGGACCAGGACCAGGACCAGGACCAGGACTAAGACCAGGACCAGAGACCAAGACCAGGACCTGGAGAAGAACCAGAACCAGCACCTGGAGCAGAAACCAAGACCTGGACCTGGACCAACACCAGAAAAGGACCAGAGACCAGGACAAGAAGCCAGGACCAGGACCAGTGACAAGGACCAGAGACAAATACCTGGACCAGGACCAGAGACCAAGACCTAGACCAGGTCAGTTCAGAGTCAGACCTGAGTTCCTGCAGGGGGCAGTGTGGGTCGTCCTGTAGAGCCTTCAGCAGCTCTGATGAACCTCCTGGATGGTTGTAGCTCAGGTCCAACTCTCTCAGATGGGAGGGGGCGGGGCTTAGAGCTGAGGCCAGAGCAGCCCCGCCCCTCTCTGAGATCAGACATCCAGACAGCCTAAAGACACACAGCGTTACACTCATGTGGACACAGAGGACACAGATGCATCATGGGAGTCTCACCTGAGAGTGTGCAGTCCACAGGGGGCGCTCTTCAGTCCAGAACACAGCAGCTCCACTCCTGAGTCCTGGAGGTCGTTGTTACTCAGATCCAGGTGTGTGAGACTGGAAGAGCTGAGAACTGAGGCCAGAGGACCACAGCTGTGAGGGGACAGTCCACTGTCCCTCAACCTGAGGACAGAGACACATTAGAGACTAGACCCTCCACAGAAGACCTTCAACACAGTCTGGACTCACAGGACTTTGGTGGAGGCTCTGACCACCGGCAGCAGACCCAGGAGAGCTGTCTCTGAGGCCTGGTATTTCCTCAGGTCAAAGTCCTGCAGGTCTGAGTCTGAGGACAGTAAGACGAAGGACAGAGTCGACCAATCAGCAGGAGATCTTAACCTGGAGAGTTCTCCTGCTCTCATGCACTCCTGTATCTGCTGCACCAGACTGAGGTCGTTCAGCTCCATCAGACAGTGCAGCAGGTTCATGCTTCTCTCTGCAGACAGACCCTTTTTATTCAGCTGCTCTTTGATGTACTTTACTGTCTTCTCATTGGTCCCTGAGCCACTTCCTGTCTGAGTCAGACCTGACAGCAGCCTCTGATTGGTCGGCAGAGACAGCCCCAGGAGGAAGCGCAGGAACAGGTCCAGGTGTCCGTTTGGACTCTGTAAGGCCTGGTCCACAGCACAGATGTAGAAAGTTCCCTCAGACTCAGAGGACTGTGGTGTCTTCAGCAGGTTCTCAGAGGACTGTGGTGTCTTCAGCAGGTTCTCAGAGGACTGTGGTGTCTTCAGCAGGTTTTCAGAGGGCTGTGGTGTCTTCAGCAGGTTCTCAGAGGACTGTGGTGTCTTCAGCAGGTTCTCAGAGGACTGTGGTGTCTTCAGCAGGTTCTCAGAGGACTGTGGTGTCTTCAGCAGGTTCTCAGAGGACTGTGGTGTCTTCAGCAGGTTCTCAGAGGACTGTGGTGTCTTCTGCAGGTTCTCAGAGGACTGTGGTGTCTTCAGCAGGTTCTCAGAGGACTGTGGTGTCTTCTGCAGGTTCTCAGAGGACTGTGGTGTCTTCAGCAGGTTCTGTCCAGAGCTGTAGAAGGTCTGATGGACATGAAGAGCAGCCAGAAACTCCTGCACACTCAGATGGATGAAGCAGTAGACCTTGTCCTGGTACAGGCCTTGCTCCTCTCTAAAGACCTGTGTGAAGACTCCGGAGTACACTGAGGCGGCTGCAGCGTCCAGCCCACACTCGCTCAGGTCACAGTCGTAGAAGATCAGGTTTCCTCTCTGCAGCTGCTCAAAGGCCAGTTTTCCCAGAGACGTCACCATCTCCCTGGTCTGTGGAGTCCAGTGAAGCTCCGCCCCTGATCCCTGCTGATACTTGATGTTGTGGACTTTGGCCTGCACCACTAGGAAGTGTGTGTACATCTGTGTGAGGGTCCGGGGTAGCTCTGGTTCCTTTGTTTGTTCCAGAAGCTTCTGTAGAACTGTGGAGAGGATCCAGCAGAAGACTGGGATGTGGCACATGATGTGGAGGCTGCGGACGCTCTTGATGTGGGAGATGATCGCTGTGGCCTGTCGCTCGTCTCTGAACCTCTTCCTGAAGTACTGCTCCTTCTGCGGGTCGGTGAAGCCTCGGACCTCTGTCACCATGGAGACGCACTCTGCAGGGATCTGATTGGCCGCCGCTGGGCGTGTGGTGATCCAGAGGCGAGCGGAGGGAAGCAGGCTTCCTCTGATGAGGTTTACCAGCAGCAGGTCCAGAGAGACGGACTCTGTGGGGTCTGAGAGGACACGAGAGCTGCTGAAGGCCAGAGGAAGTCTGCACTCGTCCAGACCGTCAAAGATGAGGAGCACCTGGAGGTCTTCAAAGCTGCAGAGACCTTTGGATGGACTGAAGAAGTGCTGTATGAGTCCCACCAGGCTGAAGCTTCTGTCCTTCACAACATTGAGCTCTCTGAAGGAGAAGGGGAACAGCAGCTGGAGGTCCTGATGAGCTCTGCCTTCAGCCCAGTCCAGACTAAACTTCTGAGTCAGCACAGTCTTCCCCACGCCGGCCACGCCCTTTGTCAGCAGCGCTCTGATTGGCTGTGGTGAGTGTGGGCGGGGCTTAAACATGTCTTCACAGGTGATGGTGGTCTCTGGAGCGGCTGGTCTCCTGGACGCGCTCTCCATCAGTCTGACCTCATGTTCCTGGTTGACCTCTGAGGCCCCGCCCTCTGTGATGTAGAGCTCTGTGTAGATCTGGGTCAGGGGGGCGGAGTCTCCTGCTTTAGCCACGCCCTCAAACACACGGCTGGACTTATGCTGCAGCTGCTTCTTCAGTTCATCTCTACGAACTCCAACAGTGCTTCCTGAATAAAGACAAACAGCTGTGAACATGTGACCACTGAACTGACCCCGCCTCCATTAGCGTTAGCCAAAGATGCTAACAAACAAGGCTAACAGCTAGCGCCATTTGACGTTTGACAAGTGAAATACACTTGTCAAATATAGATACTTTGATTATATCATAACAAGTGAATTCTGTCCATTCTGATCTTTAAAATGAGGGAGAACATGTGGGCGGAGCTTAAGTTAACACCATGTGTTTGTGGCTGAGTCGGTAACTTCCATGATCCAAAAGAATGTTCTGATTTGGGTGAAATCTGGGCCCATTACTGATGTGTGGTGAGTGTTCAGAGCCTGAGAGCCAGAAATGTGTGTGTCTCTAGTAAACACATGTTGTGTTGCTACAGACACAGAGAGTTCTTACTGCTCTGCAGGCGCTGGACCAGCTCATCCTGCTTCATCCTCTTCAGGAAGTCCAGGGCGATCTTCAGAACCTCTCTGCTCTCCTCCTCACTCTCAGAGCATTCTGGGTAATCTGAGGCCAGGAGCCTTTGGATCCTCTGCAGCTGCTCTTTGACAAAAGTCACCACGTCCTCCTGCAGACGCTGGAACAGAACAATAAGAGTTCACAGAGAGACGCTGAGGAGCAGCCAGAGAAGGCCACACAAGCTGCGGTGGTGGACACTCACCCTCAAGATGGCGTCCAGCGGCTCCTTTGGACCTGGATCCCTGTGAAACACACTCAGCATTTATTTAGTGTGCACAATAGAAGAACACAGACTCAAACAGGAGAGAAAAGGACTGTTTCTATAAAGAGCTTCTACACAGCACTAAATGTATTCCTAACTGATGTCTGTAGTGCCAAGCTTTTGCTCGAGAACAAATCTGTGAATGCACCCTTGTCCTGTTTTAATGACCTCTTGAATAGAATGATTACACTGGAGGAGGTGCGGATAGCGATTGTGAAAACTAAACCACACAATGCAGTGGGTGTGGATGATCTGTCCAACGAGGTGCTCAAAAGCCCAAAGTTGTTAAGTGTTTTGCATTGTCTATTTAAATATTGTTTTCAGAATGGGGTTATACCATCAATCTGGTATAAATCTATCATCAAGCCTATTCCAAAATCATCTCAAGCTGACCCCAGAGTCCCTTTGAACTATAGAGGCATAAGTTTATTAAGTACAGTTTATAAGGTGTTTTCTGCCATCCTGAATAACCGGCTCTGTGAATTTATAGAAGTGAATGAAATATTGGTGGATGAGCAGAATGGATTCATGAAGAAACGAGCATGTATTGACCACATTTATGCTCTATCCTCGGTAGTGAGAGCTAGAATTCAAGAAGGCAAGGATACCTTTGTGTGTTTTGTTGATTTTAAAAAAGCCTTTGACTGGATAAATCGAGATCTGTTGGAATTTAAGTTACTTAAGTGTGGTATTAATGGGGATTTCTATGAATCTATTAAAGCCCTGTACAAGGCCCCAGTAGCGAAGTGAACGATCTGAGGACTGGTTGGTTTCCCACTGCCTTTGGTGTGAAACAAGGAGACGTTCTCTCTCCAACATTATTTGCTATTTATGTTAATGATTTGGCGCAGGAGGTAAAGAGAGCAAATTTAGGAATTGCTATTGATGACTTTGACCTCAGCATTTTATTATATGCTGATGATATTGTTGTGATAGCAGAAGAAGAAATAAAACTGCAAAAAATGTTGGATATTATGAATGTGTGGTGTTCCAAATGGAGATTAACTATTAATTGTGAAAAAACTCAAATAGTTCATTTTAGAAAACCGTCTGTATCACGAAGTGATTTTACATTTTCTTTTGGTCAAAAAAGGTTGATGTATTCTGTTACCTATAAGTATCTTGGTTTTGCTTTTTATGAGAATATGAGTTTTTTTGAGGGTAGAAAGATACTAGCTGAGTCTGCGGGAATTGCCTTAGGAGCTGTAATTAATAAGATGAAGATCTGTCCTGATTTAAGTTTTATATTTTTACACAACTGTTCGATTCAATGGTGGGATCTATACTCCTCTATAGTGCAGGCGTCTGGGGCTTTGAGGAGGCTCCAGAGTGTAATAATATACAAGGCAGGGCCATGAGATATTTCCTAGGAGTTCATAGGTTTACACCCAGAGCAGCGATAGAGGGTGATATAACCATGTGTAAGGAACCATGTGTAAGGAACCATGTGTAAGGAACCATGTGTAAGGAACCATGTGTTGTGTTGTAAAACAGAAGGTAGAGATGATCCGACTGTGGAACCGCCTTGTCCGTCTACCAGAAGACAGAATTACACGGAAGATTTTTTAACTGGGAGAGAAGTCACAGACTCCCCTGGTCCAAAGAGGTGCTGCAAATATTGTCAAAAGTTGAATTCGGATACTTATTTCAAAATAATTTACAATGTAAATTGGTAACTCTAAGGAAAATGTTAAATGATATCTACGAGAAAGAATGGAAAGTTAAAGTTTTGAAGAAAACTAAGCTCAGAACTTATGTCCAGTTTAAGAACTGTTTTTCCACAGAAATGTATTTAAAATTTAACCTGAGAAAAGGGCAGAGGTCTCTGTGCTCGGTTCAGAGCAGGAGTGCTGCCCCTTGAGGTTGAGGTGGGGCGTTACAAGGGGGTTCCACTGGATGTTCGACTGTGTGCGCTGTGTGAGCTGGGAGCAGTGGAGGATGAATTTCGTTTTTTGTTTTACTGTCCTATGTACAATGACCTAAGAATGGTATTGTTCACAAAGATTCAATGTAAAAATCCTGATTTGTTTTGGCTTTCTGATGGTGATAGACTGTGTTGGATATTTGAAAATGAAGTTTTTGCAGTGGCAAACTTTGTTGAAAAGGCCTGGACACTGAGACAAAGGACTTTATATCCAGAGAGACAGTAATATCTTTGTCCACAGGTGTGGCTGTATCTTCCTTTCTGTTGATAGTGTCACATAAGCCCATGAGGCTGGGCACATGTATGTGTATGACACTTAGATTAAATATCCATTCATTCATTCATTCACTAAACCTGGGACTCCCAGCTCCAGCACCAGAGACACCAGACATTTTGCCACAGATGAAGTTGTACGTTTGTGGTGACTCTGAAGTGTTGCCTTCTGGCTCTACAGGCCCTGGGCTTCTTCACCTCATCATCATCACTTTCTCCTGTTGCATTGTGGTCTTGGTGTCAACATGTGTTGATAAAAAGTGCCCTAACAAATGTGAGTGAGCTTCAACAGATCTGTCAGAAAGCTCTTTGGCCACGTTCACACGGAGCTGATCTCAGATCTGCAAATATATTCTGTCTCATTCAGTCTTCCACATGAAGCCAATCCAGGCTCTGAAAGCGGCTCCAGAGAGAAGGCTTTGAAACCAGCGTCTGCAACTGTTCCATCTGATCCACAACAAAGACATTTATCTTTACTGCAGGGTCCTCCACTGCTCCAGCCTCAGGTCCTGAAGGAAACACATCCTCCACAGAGATGTTTGTCCCTGTGAAGAAGGACTCAGAAGCTTCTCTTTCCCTCAGTGTGAAGACCCGCTCCTGCTGTCTTCAGTAGATTCTACATTCATGCTGTTTATTTACAAAGTGCCACAGAACCACAGTCTTTGATGAAGGACGAGACACAGCACTGTCTTAACAACATGGGTTCAAGTCTCACCTCTGATCTTCAGGACCATCTTCTCTGAAGTCTGGAGGAAGGAATTTGGACCAGTCACTTTTCAGAGACTGAGAGCTGGGAGCAGGTCCAGGTCTGGGTCCAGGTCTGGGTTTAGACCCGGGGCCAGATCCTCGTGGGTCCATGTTGTAGAGGCTGGAATCAGAACCAGAGTCACTTTGTTTCATGATATTTGCGTCTGTTCTAACAGTGTTGTGTGTTGGATCTTCAGAAGACCAGGTTTCCTGCACAAACAGTAGTAAGTGTTGAAAGAATTCTCTCTGGATTATGTTTCAAGAAGGTTTACAGAAAACAGAACAGTAGAACTCAGACTTGGACTTCAGCCTGGTCCAAAGAAAGACCATGGAAAAGACCCAGAGACAAAGAAACTGTGGATCTGGTACCAGTGAGAGGTGACGTAATGGAAACTGGTACCATGTGCTGAAGACCAGCTGTGACCCAGGTACAGAATGTACCAGGGGACCCCTAAATGGACTCTCTCTGCTGGTCCCTCTGAGACCAGAAAACTCTAATGTAAAGAAGCTCCATCGGCCTCATAGGAATGTCCCAGAACACATTCAAATGATGTAAGGACCAGGAAGGAACCAGGAAACATACCAGATACAACAGTCTCTGAACCTTTGGCTCTGATTGGATTCCAAACTGGTGTTCTGGTCCTACAGCTGCAGGACTCGGTCCAAATATCTAAGTGCAGGTTTTCAGAGCAACATTCAGACTGTGCTGAGGTTTGTGATTAAAGCAGAGTTGGTTTTGACATTTGAGACGGACACAGAATGAAGTAGATTGAATGTTAGTGTCTCATGTGGCCCCAGTCTGGATGTAGTTCATCTGTGAGGAGGACCTCCCTCTTACACGCCTCAGGATTCATTCTCCCAGAGACGGTCCTGAACCAGTCTCCAGAACACAGTCCACACTGAGACTCCTGGTCTTCAGCCTGCGTCATGTGTCTGCATCATTCACAAACATGTTTCATGTTGTGTCTTTGTTGTGTTTCTGGATCAGGAAAAGAAACTTGTGTTTTCTGTAGTCGTCAAGAGACCTCCACCAGGGGTACTGTAATCACCAGGGTTTGTGTGTTAGTCTGCAGAATAACTCACACATGTCAGGGCAGGAGACCAGTCCCAGTCTGACCTGGACTCTAGACCTGAGGACCAGTCCCAATCTCTGACTCTAGACCTGAGGACCAGTCCCAGTCTGACTCTAGACCTGAGGACCAGTCCCAGTCTGACCTGGACTCTAGACCTGAGGACCAGTCCCAGTCTGACCTGGACTGTAGACCTGAGGACCAGTCCCAGTCTGACCTGGACTGTAGACCTGAGGACCAGTCCCAGTCTGACCTGGACTCTAGACCTGAGGACCAGTCCCAGTCTGACTCTAGACCTGAGGACCAGTCCCAGTCTGACTCTAGACCTAAGGACCAGTCCCGGTCTGACCTGGACTGTAGACCTGAGGACCAGTCCCAGTCTGACTCTAGACCTGAGGACCAGTCCCGGTCTGACCTGGACTGTAGACCTGAGGACCAGTCCCGGTCTGACCTGGACTCTAGACCTGAGGACCAGTCCCAGTCTGAGCTGGACTCTAGACCTGAGGACCAGTCCCAGTCTGACTCTAGACCTGAGGACCAGTTCCAGTCTGACCTGGACTCTAGACCTGAGGACCAGTCCCAGTCTGACCTGGACTCTAGACCTGAGGACCAGTCCCAGTCTGACTCTAAACCTGAGGACCAGTCCCAGTCTGACCTGGACTCTAGACCTGAAGACCAGTCCCAGTCTGACCTGGACTCTAGACCTGAGGACCAGTCCCAGTCTGACCTGGACTCTAGACCTGAGGACCAGTCCCAGTCTGACTCTAGACCTGAGGACCAGTCCCAGTCTGACCTGGACTCTAGACCTGAGGACCAGTCCCAGTCTGACCTGGACTCTAGACCTGAGGACCAGTCCCAGTCTGACTCTAGACCTGAGGACCAGTCCCAGTCTGACTCTAGACCTGAGGACCAGTCCCAGGCTGACCTGGACTCTAGACCTGAGGACCAGTCCCAGTCTGACCTGGACTCTAGACCTGAGGACCAGTCCCAGTCTGACTCTGGACCTGAGGACCAGTCCCAGTCTGACTCTAAACCTGAGGACCAGTCCCAGTCTGACCTGGACTCTAGACCTGAGGACCAGTCCCAGTCTGACCTGGACTCTAGACCTGAGGACCAGTCCCAGTCTGACCTGGACTCTAGACCTGAGGACCAGTCCCAGTCTGACTCTAGACCTGAGGACCAGTCCCGGTCTGACCTGGACTGTAGACCTGAGGACCAGTCCCAGTCTGACCTGGACTGTAGACCTGAGGACCAGTCCCAGTCTGACCCGGACTGTAGACCTGAGGACCAGTCCCAGTCTGACCTGGACTCTAGACCTGAGGACCAGTCCCAGTCTGACCTGGACTCTAGACCTGAGGACCAGTCCCAGTCTGACTCTGGACCTGAGGACCAGTCCCAGTCTGACCTGGACTCTAGACCTGAGGACCAGTCCCAGTCTGACTCTAAACCTGAGGACCAGTCCCAGTCTGACCTGGACTCTAGACCTGAGGACCAGTCCCAGTCTGACCTGGACTCTAGACCTGAGGACCAGTCCCAGTCTGACCTGGACTCTAGACCTGAGGACCAGTCCCAGTCTGACTCTAGACCTGAGGACCAGTCCCGGTCTGACTCTAGACCTGAGGACCAGTCCCGGTCTGACCTGGACTGTAGACCTGAGGACCAGTCCCAGTCTGACCTGGACTGTAGACCTGAGGACCAGTCCCGGTCTGACCTGGACTGTAGACCTGAGGACCAGTCCCAGTCTGACTCTAGACCTGAGGACCAGTCCCAGTCTGACCTGGACTGTAGACCTGAGGACCAGTCCCAGTCTGACCTGGACTGTAGACCTGAGGACCAGTCCCAGTCTGACCTGGACTCTAGACCTGAGGACAAGTCCCAGTCTGACTCTAGACCTGAGGACCAGTCCCGGTCTGACCTGGACTGTAGACCTGAGGACCAGTCCCAGTCTGACCTGGACTCTAGACCTGAGGACCAGTCCCAGTCTGACTCTAGACCTGAGGACCAGTCCCGGTCTGACCTGGACTGTAGACCTGAGGACCAGTCCCAGTCTGACCTGGACTGTAGACCTCAGATCAGATTCAGATTCATTTATTTGCCATTTGCAGTAAAACCACATTGAAAAACTGTGCAAGACTACCCCAGTGTGCACCAGACGACACACACCAGAGCTCTTGCCACGGCGCCATCTTTCCGGCGCCATGCGACAAACAGTAGAATAAACAGCAGAGAGCAATAACATACAGTTACACAGACAGTTGGATAGACACATTGTGCTTTGAATAAACCACGGATTTTTTTTTCGGGATGAGCACCTCCGACTGCCGGCCCAATGTGGCTGTCAGAGGGGGGCGGGGTCAGGGAGGGGGTGAGTCGGAAACACAGTGAGGAGTGGAGGGGAGGGAGGGAGCAAGATGGATAGGTAGAGGGAGGCGGGGGGAGCGGGATCCAAGCTGGAACTGACTGAATAGTGTGAGTTGTTGTAGATAGTCCGGACTTGTTATTATGGCCTTGGCCGAGGAATGTGAGATAAGAGTGGAGAGAAGGCACAGGAGGAGAAAACACATTCGCCTGAGAGGAACAATATTATATGCAATGTCGCAGTCAAAAACAGGCAGATATTCTATTAAATCCAATTAATCCGAATTGCGGCGCCCTCAGACCTCCGTACACAGGGGCAAGTCCAAGCCGGGTCAGAGAGTTCAAGCCTGACACACAATGTCATTCAATCTCAGCTCCAGAGTTTTGTTCCCTTCGAGTGAACTAGCTGCGAGATCTTTGATCAACTGTTCCACTAACACCACTCTTCGTTGTCCAGCCACAGCGCTCTCAACCACGACTCGGCTAAGCTCCTTGTACATCCCATCAATTTTGTTGGCCAGCAGGTCGTGAATCTTGCGAACTGCCATGCCTCCGAATTTGTGGTAGAAGAGAACCGCTCCAAACCCAAACAGGAGGATCCCCACCACCAAAAAGCCAAAGATATATACGTCTTCCGAATCTTCAATGGACAGGGTCGACAGACAGAGGGGCTGAAACTTGTTCCAGCTGTCAAGAGTATACCCCGCAGGTGAAGTCCCGTCCGGGCACACGGGCTCCCCAGACCCACGCTTACGTGTTGAAAAGATATATAAGATGGGACCTGAGGACCAGTCCCAGTCTGACCTGGACTCTAGACCTGAGGACCAGTCCCAGTCTGACCTGGACTGTAGACCTGAGGACCAGTCCCAGTCTGACCCGGACTGTAGACCTGAGGACCAGTCCCGGTCTGACCTGGACTGTAGACCTGAGGACCAGTCCCAGTCTGACCTGGACTGTAGACCTGAGGACCAGTCCCAGTCTGACCCGGACTGTAGACCTGAGGACCAGTCCCGGTCTGACCTGGACTGTAGACCTGAGGACCAGTCCCAGTCTGACCTGGACTCTAGACCTGAGGACCAGTCCCGGTCTGACCTGGACTGTAGACCTGAGGACCAGTCCCAGTCTGACCTGGACTCTAGACCTGAGGACCAGTCCCAGTCTGACCTGGACTCTAGACCTGAGGACCAGTCCCAGTCTGACCTGGACTCTAGACCTGAGGACCAGTCCCAGTCTGACTCTAGACCTGAGGACCAGTCCCAGTCTGACTCTAGACCTGAGGACCAGTCCCAGTCTGACTCTAGACCTGAGGACCAGTCCCAGTCTGACTCTAGACCTGAGGACCAGTCCCAGTCTGGACCAGATGGTTCAACGTCACAGAGCAGCTCCACAGACCATCAACACCAGCTGCACATGGTGTCACTGTGCCACAAACACTGCAGCTTGAGGCTGAAGTACATTTAGACAAATCCAGCTTCATTTAGGAATAAGGTTCTGTCGACTGTGACGGAAAATGACTATTCATTAAATCAAAAACATCAGAAACGCTAAAAATCCTTAAAGTGAACACAGTCTTTGTGTCCATCCAGACACTGACACTTCACTGATAAGAACCACGTTTGTTTGGAGGAGGCTCATAAATCAGATGATAACCTGCCCCTCGTAGCCACCCTTACTCTTCCTCCTTTCTCCTCTTCCTCAGTCTGGGAAAACTGCAGACTGAGGCTTTGTTCTACAGTCTGACTCCTGGATCTACAGCCTCAGTCCTCGTTCTACAGTCTGACTCCTGGATCTACAGCCTCAGTCCTCGTTCTACAGCCTGACTCCTGGATCTACAGCCTCAGTCCTCGTTCTACAGCCTGACTCCTGGATCTACAGCCTCAGTCCTCGTTCTACAGTCTGACTCCTGGATCTACAGCCTCAGTCCTCGTTCTACAGTCTGACTCCTGGATCTACAGCCTCAGTCCTCGTTCTACAGCCTGACTCCTGGATCTACAGCCTCAGTCCTCGTTCTACAGTCTGACCCCTGGATCTACAGCCTCAGTCCTCGTTCTACAGCCTGACTCCTGGATCTACAGCCTCAGTCCTCGTTCTACAGCCTGACTCCTGGATCTACAGCCTCAGTCCTCGTTCTACAGTCTGACTCCTGGATCTACAGCCTCAGTCCTCGTTCTACAGTCTGAGTCCTGGATCTACAGCCTCAGTCCTCGTTCTACAGTCTGACTCCTGGATCTACAGCCTCAGTCCTCGTTCTACAGTCTGACTCCTGGATCTACAGCCTCAGTCCTCGTTCTACAGTCTGACTCCTGGATCTACAGCCTCAGTCCTCGTTCTACAGTCTGACTCCTGGATCTACAGCCTCAGTCCTCGTTCTACAGTCTGACCCCTGGATCTACAGCCTCAGTCCTCGTTCTACAGTCTGACCCCTGGATCTACAGCCTCAGTCCTCGTTCTACAGCCTAACTCCTGGATCTACAGCCTCAGTCCTCGTTCTACAGTCTGACTCCTGGATCTACAGCCTCAGTCCTCGTTCTACAGTCTGAGTCCTGGATCTACAGCCTCAGTCCTCGTTCTACAGTCTGACTCCTGGATCTACAGCCTCAGTCCTCGTTCTACAGTCTGACTCCTGGATCTACAGCCTCAGTCCTCGTTCTACACTCTGACTCCTGTATCTACAGCCTCAGTCCTCGTTCTACAGTCTGAGTCCTGGATCTACAGCCTCAGTCCTCGTTCTACAGCCTGACTCCTGGATCTACAGCCTCAGTCCTCGTTCTACAGTCTGACTCCTGGATCTACAGCCTCAGTCCTCGTTCTACAGTCTGACTCCTGGATCTACAGCCTCAGTCCTCGTTCTACAGCCTGACTCCTGGATCTACAGCCTCAGTCCTCGTTCTACAGCCTGACTCCTGGGTCTACAGCCTCAGTCCTCGTTCTACAGCCTGACTCCTGGATCTACAGCCTCAGTCCTCGTTCTACAGTCTGACTCCTGGATCTACAGCCTCAGTCCTCGTTCTACAGTCTGAGTCCTGGATCTACAGCCTCAGTCCTCGTTCTACAGCCTGACTCCTGGATCTACAGCCTCAGTCCTCGTTCTACAGTCTGACTCCTGGATCTACAGCCTCAGTCCTCGTTCTACAGTCTGACTCCTGGATCTACAGCCTCAGTCCTCGTTCTACAGCCTGACTCCTGGATCTACAGCCTCAGTCCTCGTTCTACAGCCTGACTCCTGGATCTACAGCCTCAGTCCTCGTTCTACAGTCTGACTCCTGGATCTACAGCCTCAGTCCTCGTTCTACAGTCTGACTCCTGGATCTACAGCCTCAGTCCTCGTTCTACAGCCTGACTCCTGGATCTACAGCCTCAGTCCTCGTTCTACAGCCTGACTCCTGGATCTACAGCCTCAGTCCTCGTTCTACAGTCTGACTCCTGGATCTACAGCCTCAGTCCTCGTTCTACAGCCTGACTCCTGGATCTACAGCCTCAGTCCTCGTTCTACAGTCTGACTCCTGGATCTACAGCCTCAGTCCTCGTTCTACAGTCTGACTCCTGGATCTACAGCCTCAGTCCTCGTTCTACAGCCTGACTCCTGGATCTACAGCCTCAGTCCTCGTTCTACAGCCTGACTCCTGGATCTACAGCCTCAGTCCTCGTTCTACAGTCTGACTCCTGGATCTACAGCCTCAGTCCTCGTTCTACAGCCTGACTCCTGGAGCTACAGCCTCAGTCCTCGTTCTACAGTCTGACTCCTGGATCTACAGCCTCAGTCCTCGTTCTACAGTCTGACTCCTGGGTCTACAGCCTCAGTCCTCGTTCTACAGTCTGACTCCTGGATCTACAGCCTCAGTCCTCGTTCTACAGTCTGACTCCTGGATCTACAGCCTCAGTCCTCGTTCTACAGTCTGACTCCTGGATCTACAGCCTCAGTCCTCGTTCTACAGTCTGACTCCTGGATCTACAGCCTCAGTCCTCGTTCTACAGTCTGACTCCTGGATCTACAGCCTCAGTCCTCGTTCTACAGTCTGAGTCCTGGATCTAAGGCCTCAGTCCTCGTTCTACAGTCTGACTCCTGGATCTACAGCCTCAGTCCTCGTTCTACAGTCTGACTCCTGGATCTACAGCCTCAGTCCTCGTTCTACAGTCTGACTCCTGGATCTACAGCCTCGGTCCTCGTTCTACAGCCTGACTCCTGGATCTACAGCCTCAGTCCTCGTTCTACAGTCTGACTCCTGGATCTACAGCCTCTGTCCTCGTTCTACAGTCTGACTCCTGGATCTACAGCCTCTGTCCTCGTTCTACAGTCTGACTCCTGGATCTACAGCCTCAGTCCTCGTTCTACAGTCTGACTCCTGGATCTACGGAATCAGTCCTCGTTCTACAGTCTGACTCCTGGATCTACAGCCTCAGTCCTCGTTCTACAGTCTGACTCCTGGATCTACAGCCTCGGTCCTCGTTCTACAGCCTGACTCCTGGATCTACAGCCTCAGTCCTCGTTCTACAGCCTGACTCCTGGATCTACAGCCTCAGTCCTCGGTTCTACAGTCTGACTCCTGGATCTACAGCCTCAGTCCTCGTTCTACAGCCTGACCCCTGGATCTACAGCCTCAGTCCTCGTTCTACAGCCTGACTCCTGGATCTACAGCCTCAGTCCTCGTTCTACAGTCTGAGTCCTGGATCTACAGCCTCGGTCCTCGTTCTACAGTCTGACTCCTGGATCTACAGCCTCGGTCCTCGTTCTACAGTCTGACTCCTGGATCTACAGCCTCAGTCCTCGTTCTACAGTCTGACTCCTGGATCTACAGCCTCAGTCCTCGTTCTACAGTCTGACTCCTGGATCTACAGACTCAGTCCTCGTTCTACAGTCTGACTCCTGGATCTACAGCCTCAGTCCTCGTTCTACAGCCTGACTCCTGGATCTACAGCCTCAGTCCTCGTTCTACAGTCTGACTCCTGGATCTACAGCCTCAGTCCTCGTTCTACAGCCTGACCCCTGGATCTACAGCCTCAGTCCTCGTTCTACAGCCTGACTCCTGGATCTACAGCCTCAGTCCTCGTTCTACAGTCTGACTCCTGGATCTACAGCCTCAGTCCTCGTTCTACAGTCTGACTCCTGGATCTACAGCCTCAGTCCTCGTTCTACAGTCTGACTTCTGGATCTACAGCCTCAGTCCTCGTTCTACAGTCTGACTCCTGGATCTACAGCCTCAGTCCTCGTTCTACAGTCTGACTCCTGGATCTACAGCCTCAGTCCTCGTTCTACAGTCTGACTCCTGGATCTACAGCCTCAGTCCTTGTTCTACAGTCTGACTCCTGGATCTACAGCCTCAGTCCTCGTTCTACAGTCTGACTCCTGGATCTACAGCCTCAGTCCTCGTTCTACAGTCTGACTCCTGGATCTACAGCCTCAGTCCTCGTTCTACAGTCTGACTCCTGGATCTACAGCCTCAGTCCTCGTTCTACAGTCTGACTCCTGGATCTACAGCCTCAGTCCTCGTTCTACAGTCTGACTCCTGGATCCCTCTCTCATGGTTTCTCATCTGTTCCCAGTGGGTTTTAGAGTTGTTGCCGATGCAGGAGTCTGTGGAGCCCTGGTCTGGATCTAACTGAAAGGACAGAGGTGATGATCCAGGACATTCTACAACATTTATGGACCAATGGTTTTATCGTTTCTCGTGTTGAACTGTTTGATTCTCTGATCTGTGTCGGAGAATTCAAGAAACTATTGTTGTGATTTAGGTCGATACCAGAATAAATGGAATAGAATCTCAGTCCCCAGACCTGAAAATCATTCAAAGGTCCAAAACACCAGAATCCAGACTCTGTGAGTTTAGAGGCTGTTGTTTCTGCAAAAGGAGGATGAACTATCCATCCATCCATTTTCTTCCCCTTAATCCATTTCTGGGTCAGGGGGGCGGCAGTCAGAGCTGCACCAGTACACAGAGCACCAGCCCCTCACTGATCCTCCTGCAGGTGGTGAGTCCACAGGAGCTGAGATCTTTCAGTGGGGGCTTTTAGGCAAAGTAGGGTTAAGTGTCTTGCCCAAGGACACAACGACAGCAGTCATCAGTGGGAGTCGTGAAGTAGGTCTTAAGGTGGGCTTGAACCCACGACCTTCAGGGCCAAAGGCCAATGCTCTACCAACTGAGCTACTGTCGCCCTCGAGGATGAACTAAATATTTATATTTATGCAGACGCCTGAACTGGTTTCAATAATTCTTACTGACTTTCTGTGAACGATAAAAACTTTATTTCACTTCTCAAAGATCAGTGTTTGTCTCATACATGATATATTTAAATGTTAGATTCAGTGGATGGAGCAGTAAAAATAAGGGTTAAAAGTAGAACTCAAAATAAATAAAAATATAATTTGACAGAAATAAACAAAAAGAAAAATTCACAAAGTTCTGACGACACAAAAGTTAGAGTCTGCTCTGGGAGGACATGGGTTCAAGTCTCACCTCTGATCTTCAGAACCATCTTCTCTGAAGTTTATAAGAAAGTGTTTGGACCGGTCACTTTTCAGAGACTGAGAGCTGGGAGCAGGTCCAGGTCTGGAATTGATGAGTGTAACTTAACAATAGTTGCTTCAAAGTGTTAATGAAATCTCACACCTTAACTAGAAAGGAGGGCTGCAGTGTATGCTCAGCACAACTCCAGCCGATGCCTACAATGTTTTCATGACAACAATCTGTACTTAACACCACTATCCTGTGATTTGACCAATCAACGACGCTCCTTTGCTTTCCATCTAGCTCTGACCCGGACTGGTGCAGTCTGTAACATGTCTGTGTGTGCTGATGTCCAGATAACCTGTAGTTTTGAACCAGCGGCTGACATGTATTAAAGAGATTATGTTGCTGAAATGTGACAAGAGTTTTATCACAGTCATATAATAAAACATGTATTAACCTGGGTTAATAAGCCGTTTATACTAGAGAGACAGAATCCTGTAAATCCATCACAGACATCACAAATGTCCATAATGTGAGCTCTGCTTCTGGAGCAGTTCTGTCTGATATTACGGATCATTTTCCCATTGTGCTTTTCACAGATCTGGGAACACAAACAAAACAGTCCCTAAGGAGAAAACTAAAGTATTAACTGAACAAAATGTGTGTGCACTTTATAATGACCTTAAATGGAAAGGATGGGATGCTGTGTATCTCAGCACAACTCCAGACGATGCCTACAATGTTTTCATGAAAACAATCAGTATTAACACCACTATTCCAGAAAGAATCATGGAAAGTGCTTCAGGTAAGCAGGAAAAGTGCCTTACTAAAGGCTTACGTAAATCCATAAAAAAGAAAGATAAATCATATCAAATGTGATCAAACTCATGAAAACAAAGACATATTTATAAAAGATAAAAATAAATGGACACATTTAATAAGAATAGCAAGACGTGACAGTAATGCTCAGGAAATGAAGGCTTCCCATGGAAATCCAAAGCAATGCTGGAGGGTTCTAAATAAGGTTCTCTGTCGGGGCCAAACATCTACTTCTCTCCCTGACACCAAATGCAAACAAAACAATAAAGATTTAGTCAACAGTTTCAACAATTATTTTAAAGCTATTGGAGAAACTCTAACACCGTACGTCCACCAGGGGGTGCTACGTATCATCAATACTTAACCCTAATCCTGGAACCAACTGACAAAACTGAGGTTCAAAGAATTATTACAGGCATGAAAAGCTCCTGTACAGAAGGAGTGGACTCTGTCTGGAATAAAATAGTCAAATATATAGAAAAAGAAAGGATTGACCCACTCGTCCATTGTATAAATCTCTCGCTGCAATTTGGAACAGTGCCAAAGAAAATGTGCTAAAATCCTCCCTATATTTAAGTGTGGGGACAGGAATACTCTGGAGAATGATCGACCCATATCAATACTGCCTTTTCTAAAGTATTTGAACAGACTGTATTTGAAAGGCTCAGTGGGTACTTCCATAAAAGGTGTATTTTAACTTCATGTCAGTTTGGTTTTAGGAAACAGCACAACCTGAGGCTATTTTAGATCTTGCTGAAAGAGTAAATGATGCTGTTGACAAAGGCGAGTGTGGAGTTGGTGTTTTCCTCCATCTGTCAAAAGCATTCCATACCATCGACTTTGACATTTTTCTGGGAAACTTGAGCATTATGGTGTCAGGGGCGTTGCCCTTGATTGGTTCAGAAGCGATCGATCTGAGAGAGAGCAATATGTACAAATGAACAGGTACAAATCTCTAAACAAAACTATCAAATGTGGGGCACCACAGGGTTCAATACTAGGACCACTCCTCTTCATCACATACATGACCTGACAAATTCAACTGAGATTTTACACAACATAGTTTTTCTCTCACAAAAACATGAAACAATGAAGAACTGATTAAAGTAGATATCTGGATAAAATATTAACGGCTTATTAACCGAGCAAGCGAGGTTAATAAATGTTTTATTATGACTCTCGTCTGTGTCTTTACCAACGCTTTTGAGATATTTGTGAAGTATGTTCATGTCCGACTTGGTTTTGTGTGATACGGGCTGTGGACCGATTGTCATGGTAACGGTCCGAGATGGGAAAATATCAGACCGGTAATCAACCAATCAGAGCGCGCGTACGGTCCAAGTCAAATAATATAATAAATTATCCCTAAATATGAATAAAACGCATTATATGACATTGTCTTCAAACAGAACTGGTAAAAATAAAGACATTTGTATTCAGATCAACGACAGGATCTTAGAAAGAGCTCAACAAACTAAATTCTTAGGCATCTGTATCGATGACCTACATTTAAAAAACACTGATGAATTACCACAAAATGATCTAAATATTTATGTTTTATCAAATCAGACTCTGCCTCTGGAGGCACTCCTGGTCCTGTATACATCTTTATTGAACCACATCTAAATGACTGTAACAGAATATGGAGCAACACGTACCCAAGATATTTACACAAAATACTCATTCTTCAAAAAAAGTCATTTGAGTCATTAAAAAAATAAACATAACATGGTCTGATTTCAGCGCTGCCTCAAATCCACTTTTTACAGATGAAGCTGAAAGTCACAGAGAGGAACATTCTGTACAGAGCTCTACACACACACACCACACTAGGACACACTGCTTCTACACACACACACCACACTAGGACACACTGCTTCTACACACACACACCACACTAGGACACACTGCTTCTACACACACACACACACTAGGACACACTGCTTCTACACACACACACCACACTAGGACACACTGCTTCTACACACACACACACACACACCACACTAGGACACACTGCTTCTACACACACACACCACACTAGAAGGACACACTGCTTCTACACACACACACCACACTAGAAGGACACACTTCAACATTACACAACACTATGAGCCTCGGGCTGAGAACTGAAAACGGGAAAAGCAACTTCAGAAGTATTTATTGTTTTGTTTCCTGTATCATGATGAAGTGAATTATTATGGAGCACGTTTGCTGCGTTGGTTTCAATGTCTGACTCTAGACCTGAGGACCAGTCCCAGTCTGACTCTAGACCTGAGGACCAGTCCCAGTCTGACTCTAGACCTGAGGACCAGTCCCAGTCTGACTCTAGACCTGAGGACCAGTCCCAGTCTGACTCTAGACCTGAGGACCAGCCCCAGTCTGACTCTAGACCTGAGGACCAGTCCCAGTCTGACTCTAGACCTGAGGACCAGCCCCAGTCTGACTCTAGACCTGAGGACCAGTCCCAGTCTGACTCTAGACCTGAGGACCAGTCCCAGTCTGACTCTAGACCTGAGGACCAGTCCCAGTCTGACTCTGACTCAGACCTGAGGACCAGTCCCAGTCTGACTCTAGACCTGAGGACCAGTCCCAGTCTGACTCTAGACCTGAGGACCAGTCCCAGTCTGACTCTAGACCTGAGGACCAGTCCCAGTCTGACTCTAGACCTGAGGACCAGTCCCAGTCTGACTCTAGACCTGAGGACCAGTCCCAGTCTGACTCTAGACCTGAGGACCAGTCCCAGTCTGACTCTAGACCTGAGGACCAGTCCCAGTCTGACTCTAGACCTGAGGACCAGTCCAGTCTGACTCTAGACCTGAGGACCAGTCCCAGTCTGACTCTAGACCTGAGGACCAGTCCCAGTCTGACTCTAGACCTGAGGACCAGTCCCAGTCTGACTCTAGACCTGAGGACCAGTCCCAGTCTGACTCTAGACCTGAGGACGTCCCAGTCTGACTCAGACCTGAGGACCTCCCAGTCTGACTCTAGACCTGAGGACCAGCCCCAGTCTGACTCTAGACCTGAGGACCAGTCCCAGTCTGACTCTAGACCTGAGGACCAGTCCCAGTCTGACTCTAGACCTGAGGACCAGCCCAGTCTGACTCTAGACCTGAGGACCAGTCCCAGTCTGACTCTAGACCTGAGGACCAGTCCCAGTCTGACTCTAGACCTGAGGACCAGTCCCAGTCTGACTCTAGACCTGAGGACCAGTCCCAGTCTGACTCTAGACCTGAGGACCAGTCCCAGTCTGACTCTAGACCTGAGGACCAGTCCCAGTCTGACTCTAGACCTGAGGACCAGTCCCAGTCTGACTCTAGACATGAGGACCAGTCCCAGTCTGACTCTAGACCTGAGGACCAGTCCCAGTCTGACTCTAGACCTGAGGACCAGTCCCAGTCTGACTCTAGACCTGAGGACCAGTCCCAGTCTGACTCTAGACCTGAGGACCAGTCCCAGTCTGACTCTAGACCTGAGGACCAGCCCCAGTCTGACTCTAGACCTGAGGACCAGTCCCAGTCTGACTCTAGACCTGAGGACCAGTCCCAGTCTGACTCTAGACCTGAGGACCAGTCCCAGTCTGACTCTAGACCTGAGGACCAGTCCCAGTCTGACTCTAGACCTGAGGACCAGTCCCAGTCTGACTCTAGACCTGAGGACCAGTCCCAGTCTGACTCTAGACCTGAGGACCAGTCCCAGTCTGACTCTAGACCTGAGGACCAGTCCCAGTCTGACTCTAGACCTGAGGACCAGTCCCAGTCTGACGCTAGACCTGAGGACCAGGACCAGTCCCAGTCTGACTCTAGACCTGAGGACCAGTGCCAGTCTAGACCTGAGGACCAGTCCCAGTCTGACTCTAGACCTGAGGACCAGTCCCAGTCTGACTCTAGACCTGAGGACCAGTCCCAGTCTGACTCTAGACCTGAGGACCAGTCCCAGTCTGACTCTAGACCTGAGGACCAGTCCCAGTCTGACTCTAGACCTGAGGACCAGTCCCAGTCTGACTCTAGACCTGAGGACCAGTCCCAGTCTGACTCTAGACCTGAGGACCAGTCCCAGTCTGACTCTAGACCTGAGGACCAGTCCCAGTCTGACTCTAGACCTGAGGACCAGTCCCAGTCTGACTCTAGACCTGAGGACCAGTCCCAGTCTGACTCTAGACCTGAGGACCAGTCCCAGTCTGACTCTAGACCTGAGGACCAGTCCCAGTCTGACTCTAGACCTGAGGACCAGTCCCAGTCTGACTCTAGACCTGAGGACCAGTCCCAGTCTGACTCTAGACCTGAGGACCAGTCCAGTCTGACTCTAGACCTGAGGACCAGTCTGACTCTAGACCTGAGGACCAGTCCCAGTCTGACTCTAGACCTGAGGACCAGTCCCAGTCTGACTCTAGACCTGAGGACCAAGCCCAGTCTGACTCTAGACCTGAGGACCAGTCCCAGTCTGACTCTAGACCTGAGGACCAGTCCCAGTCTGACTCTAGACCTGAGGACCAGTCCCAGTCTGACTCTAGACCTGAGGACCAGTCCCAGTCTGACTCTAGACCTGAGACCAGTCCCAGTCTGACCTGAGGACCAGTCCCAGTCTGACTCTAGACCTGAGGACCAGTCCCAGTCTGACTCTAGACCTGAGGACCAGTCCCAGTCTGACTCTAGACCTGAGACCAGTCCGTCTGACTCTAGACCTGAGGACCAGTCCCAGTCTGACTCTAGACCTGAGGACCAGTCCCAGTCTGACTCTAGACCTGAGGACCAGTCCCAGTCTGACTCTAGACCTGAGGACCAGTCCCAGTCTGACTCTAGACCTGAGACCAGTCCATCTGACTCTAGACCTGAGACCAGTCCCAGTCTGACTCTAGACCTGAGGACCAGTCCCAGTCTGACTCTAGACCTGAGGACCAGTCCCAGTCTGACTCTAGACCTGAGGACCACCAGTCCCAGTCTGACTCTAGACCTGAGGACCAGTCCCAGTCTGACTCTAGACCTGAGGACCAGTCCCAGTCTGACTCTAGACCTGAGGACCAGTCCCAGTCTGACTCTAGACCTGAGGACCAGTCCCAGTCTGACTCTAGACCTGAGGACCAGTCCCAGTCTGACTCTAGACCTGAGGACCAGTCCCAGTCTGACTCTAGACCTGAGGACCAGTCCCAGTCTGACTCTAGACCTGAGGACCAGTCCCAGTCTGACTCTAGACCTGAGGACCAGTCCCAGTCTGACTCTAGACCTGAGGACCAGCCCCAGTCTGACTCTAGACCTGAGGACCAGTCCCAGTCTGACTCTAGACCTGAGGACCAGTCCCAGTCTGACTCTAGACCTGAGGACCAGTCCCAGTCTGACTCTAGACCTGAGGACCAGCCCCAGTCTGACTCTAGACCTGAGGACCAGTCCCAGTCTGACTCTAGACCTGAGGACCAGTCCCAGTCTGACTCTAGACCTGAGGACCAGTCCCAGTCTGACTCTAGACCTGAGGACCAGCCCCAGTCTGACTCTAGACCTGAGGACCAGCCCCAGTCTGACTCTAGACCTGAGGACCAGTCCCAGTCTGACTCTAGACCTGAGGACCAGTCCCAGTCTGACTCTAGACCTGAGGACCAGTCCCAGTCTGACTCTAGACCTGAGGACCAGTCCCAGTCTGACTCTAGACCTGAGGACCAGTCCCAGTCTGACTCTAGACCTGAGGACCAGTCCCAGTCTGACTCTAGACCTGAGGACCAGTCCCAGTCTGACTCTAGACCTGAGGACCAGTCCCAGTCTGACTCTAGACCTGAGGACCAGTCCCAGTCTGACTCTAGACCTGAGGACCAGTCCCAGTCTGACTCTAGACCTGAGGACCAGTCCCAGTCTGACTCTAGACCTGAGGACCAGTCCCAGTCTGACTCTAGACCTGAGGACCAGTCCCAGTCTGACTCTAGACCTGAGGACCAGTCCCAGTCTGACTCTAGACCTGAGGACCAGTCCCAGTCTGACTCTAGACCTGAGGACCAGTCCCAGTCTGACTCTAGACCTGAGGACCAGTCCCAGTCTGACTCTAGACCTGAGGACCAGTCCCAGTCTGACTCTAGACCTGAGGACCAGTCCCAGTCTGACTCTAGACCTGAGGACCAGTCCCAGTCTGACTCTAGACCTGAGGACCAGTCCCAGTCTGACTCTAGACCTGAGGACCAGTCCCAGTCTGACTCTAGACCTGAGGACCAGTCCCAGTCTGACTCTAGACCTGAGGACCAGTCCCAGTCTGACTCTAGACCTGAGGACCAGTCCCAGTCTGTCTCTAGACCTGAGGACCAGCCCCAGTCTGACTCTAGACCTGAGGACCAGTCCCAGTCTGACTCTAGACCTGAGGACCAGTCCCAGTCTGACTCTAGACCTGAGGACCAGTCCCAGTCTGACTCTAGACCTGAGGACCAGTCCCAGTCTGACTCTAGACCTGAGGACCAGTCCCAGTCTGACTCTAGACCTGAGGACCAGTCCCAGTCTGACTCTAGACCTGAGGACCAGTCCCAGTCTGTCTCTAGACCTGAGGACCAGTCCCAGTCTGACTCTCCCTCAGTGTGAAGACCCGCTCCTGGTGTCTTCAGTAGATTCTACATTCATGCTGTTTATTTACAAAGTGCCACAGAACCACAGTCTTTGATGAAGGACGAGACACAGCACTGTCTTAACAACATGGGTTCAAGTCTCACCTCTGATCTTCAGGACCATCTTCACTGAAGTCTGGAACAAGTCCTTTGGACAGGTCACTTTTCAGAGACTGAGAGCTAGGAGCAGGTCCAGGTCTGGGTCCAGGTCTGGGTTTAGACCCGGGGCCAGGTCCTCGTGGGTCCATGTTGTAGAGGCTGGAACCAGAACCAGAGTCACTTTGTTTCATGATATTGCTCTGTCCTGGACACAGTGCAGCAGGAGGAGACAGGAGGGACCTGGTCTCACTCACATCTGGTCTCTCTCTGGTCTCAGTCTCTCTCTGGTCTTTGGTCTCTCTCTGGTCTCTCTCTGGTCTCTCTCTCTGGTCTCTCTCTGGTCTCTCTCTCTGGTCTCTCTCTGGTCTCTCTCTGGTCTCTCTCTCTGGTCTCTCTCTGGTCTCTCTCTGGTCTCAGTCTCTCTCTGGTCTCTCTCTGGTCTCTCTCTCTGGTCTCTCTCTGGTCTCTCTCTCTGGTCTCTCTCTCTCTGGTCTCTCTCTCTGGTCTCTCTCTCTGGTCTCTCTCTGGTCTCTCTCTGGTCTCTCTCTGGTCTCTCTCTGGTCTCTCTCTGGTCTCTCTCTGGTCTCTCTCTCTGGTCTCTCTCTCTGGTCTCTCTCTGGTCTCTCTCTGGTCCTCTCTCTGGTCTCTCTCTGGTCTCTCTCTGGTCTCTCTTCTGGTCTCTCTCTGGCTCTCCCTGGTCTCTCTCTGGTCTCTCTCTGGTCTCTCTCTGGTCTCTCTCTGGTCTCTCTCTCTGGTCTCTCTCTGGTCTCTCTCTGGTCTCTCTCTGGTCTCTCTCTGGTCTCTCTCTGGTCTCTCTCTGGTCTCTCTCTGGTCTCTCTCTGGTCTCTCTCTGGTCTCTCTCTGGTCTCTCTCTGGTCTCTCTCTGGTCTCTCTCTGGTCTCTCTGTGGTTAGAATGTATGGTGAAAGTACAAGTACTGTAGAGCAGTACTCGAGTACATGCAGGAGTAAACAGACGACACAGACTTTTGAAATAAAAATAATGAGAGGATTTAAAGCTGTCGTACCTGGCGTGAGCCGACCATAAACACACAGAGACCAGGAGGAGCAGGAGACCAGGTGTTCACGCCGACAAACACACAGAGACCAGGTGGAGCAGGAGACCAGGTGTTCACTCTGACAAACACACAGAGACCAGGTGGAGCAGGAGACCAGGTGTTCACTCTGACAAACACACAGAGACCAGGTGGAGCAGGAGACCAGGTGTTCACTCCGACAAACACACAGCGACCAGGAGGAGCAGGAGACCAGGTGTTCACTCCGACAAACACACAGAGACCAGGTGGAGCAGGAGACCAGGTGTTCACTCCGACAAACACACAGAGACCAGGAGGAGCAGGAGACCAGGTGTTCACTCCGACAAACACACAGAGACCAGGAGGAGCAGGAGACCAGGTGTTCACTCTGACAAACACACAGAGACCAGGTGGAGCAGGAGACCAGGTGTTCACTCTGACAAACACACAGAGACCAGGAGGAGCAGGAGACCAGGTGTTCACTCCGACAAACACACAGAGACCAGGAGGAGCAGGAGACCAGGTGTTCACTCTGACAAACACACGTTAATGATCAAAGATAAAGTTTAAAACCATGGGAGGGAAGACCAGGATGAGCCGCTCTGGGCACATTCCAAACAACTCAGGTGACTTCAGCTGCGTTCTCTCTCTGGCCACTCCCTAGTCTCTGGTCTCTTCCTGGTCTCTCTCTGGCCACTCCCTAGTCTCTGGTCTCTTCCTGGTCTCTCTCTGGCCACTCCCTAGTCTCTGGTCTCTTCCTGGTCTCTCTCTGGCCACTCCCTAGTCTCTGGTCTCCTCCTGGTCTCTCTCTGGCCTCTCTCTAGTCTCTGGTCTCCTCCTGGTCTGTCTCTGGCCTCTCTCTCTCTGGTCTCTCCTGGTCTCTCTCTGGTCTCTCTCTCTGGTCTCTCCTGGTCTCTCTCGGTCTCTCTCTCTGGTCTCTCTCTGGTCTCTCTCTGGTCTCTCTCTCTGGTCTCTCTCTGGTCTCTCTCTCTCTCTCTGTCTCTCTCTCTCTGGTCTCTCTCTTCTGTCTCTCTCTCTGGTCTCTCTCTGGTTCTCTCTGGTCTCTCTCTCTGGTCTCTCTCTGGTCTCTCTCTGTCTCTCTCTGGTCTCTCTCTGGTCTCTCTCTGGTCTCTCTCTCTCTGGTCTCTCTCTCTGGTCTCTCTCTGGTCTCTCTCTGGTCCCTCTCTGGTCTCTCTCTGGTCTCTCTCTGGTCTCTCTCTGGTCTCTCTCTCTGGTCTCTCTCTCTCTCTCTGGTCTCTCTCTCTCTTGTCTCTCTCTCTGGTCTCTCTCTGGTCTCTCTCTGGTCTCTCTCTGGTCTCTCTCTGGTCTCTCTCTGTCTCTCTCTGGTCTCTCTCTAGTCTCTCTCTAGTCTCTCTCTGTCTCTCTCTGTCTCTCTCTGGTCTCTCTCTGGTCTCTCTCTGGTCTCTCTCTGGTCTCTCTGTCTCTCTCTCTCTAGTCTCTCTCTGGTCTCTCTCTCTAGTCTCTCTCTGGTCTCTCTCTGGTCTCTCTCTGGTCTCTCTCTGGTCTCTCTCTGGTCTCTCTCTGGTCTCTCTCTGGTCTCTCGCTCTGGTCTCTCTCTGGTCTCTCTCTGGTCTCTCTCTGGTCTCTCTCTCTGGTCTCTCTCTGGTCTCTCTGGTCTCTCTCTGGTCTCTCTCTGGTCTCTCTCTGGTCTCTCTCTCTGGTCTCTCTCTCTGGTCTCTCTCTGGTCTCTCTCTGGTCTCTCTCTCTGGTCTCTCTCTCTGGTCTCTCTCTGTCTCTCTCTGGTCTCTCTCTCTGGTCTCTCTCTGGTCTCTCTCTGGTCTCTCTCTGGTCTCTCCCTGGTCTCTCCCTGGTCTCTCTCTGGTCTCTCCCTGGTCTCTCCCTGGTCTCTCCCTGGTCTCTCTCTAGTCTCTCTCTGGTCTCTCTCTCTGGTCTCTCTCTCTGGTCTCTCTCTGGTCTCTCTCTGGTCTCTCTCTCTCTGGTCTCTCCCTGGTCTCTCCCTGGTCTCTCCCTGGTCTCTCTCTGGTCTCTCTCTGGTCTCTCTCTGGTCTATTTCTGGTCTATTTCTCTCTCTGGTCTCTCTCTCTCTGGTCTCTCTCTGGTCTCTCTCTAGTCTCTCTCTAGTCTCTCTTTGGTCTCTCTCTGGTCTCTCTCTAGTCTCTCTCTAGTCTCTCTGGTCTCTCTCTGGTCTCTCTCTGGTCTCTCTCTGGTCTCTCTCTGGTCTCTCTCTGGTCTCTCTCTGGTCTCTCTCTGGTCTCCTCCTGGTCTCTCTCTGGCCTCTCATAGTCTCTGGTCTCCTCCTGGTCTCTCTCTGGCCTCTCCGTAGTCCCTGGTCTCTTCCTGGTCTCCCTCTGGCCTCTCCCAAGTCTGGTCTCTTCCTAGTCTCTGGCCTCTTCTTAGTGTCTGGTCTCTTCCTGGTCTCTCTCTGCCCACTCCCTAGTCTCTGATCTCCTCCTGGTCTATATCTGGCCTCTCCGTAGTCCCTGGTCTCTTCCTGGTCTCTCTCTGGCCTCTCTCTGGTCTCTCTCTGGTCTCTCTCTGGTCTCTCTCTGGTCTCTCTGGTCTCTCTCTCTGGTGTCTCTCTGGTGTCTCTCTGGTCTCTCTCTCTGGTGTCTCTCTGGTGTCTCTCTGGTCTCTCTCTCTGGTCTCTCTCTGGTGTCTCTCTGGTCTCTCTCTCTGGTGTCTCTCTGGTCTCTCTCTGGTCTCTCTCTGGTCTCTCTCTGGTCTCTCTCTGGTCTCTCTCTCTGGTCTCTCTCTGGTCTCTCTCTAGTCTCTCTCTGGTCTCTCTCTGGTCTCTCTCTGGTCTCTCTCTGGTCTCTCTCTGGTCTCTCTCTGGTCTCTCTCTCGTCTCTCTCTGGTCTCTCTCTGGTCTCTCTCTAGTCTCTCTCTAGTCTCTCTCTAGTCTCTCTCTGGTCTCTCTCTAGTCTCTCTTTGGTCTCTCTCTAGTCTCTCTCTAGTCTCTCTCTAGTCTCTCTTTGGTCTCTCTCTGGTCTCTCTCTAGTCTCTCTCTAGTCTCTCTCTGGTCTCTCTCTAGTCTCTCTTTGGTCTCTCTCTAGTCTCTCTCTAGTCTCTCTCTGGTCTCTCTCTGGTCTCTCTCTAGTCTCTCTTTGGTCTCTCTCTAGTCTCTCTCTAGTCTCTCTTTGGTCTCTCTCTAGTCTCTCTCTGGTCTCTCTCTAGTCTCTCTCTAGTCTCTCTTTGGTGTCTCTCTGGTCTCTCTCTGGTCTCTCTCTGGTGTCTCTCTGGTCTCTCTCTGGTCTCTCTCTGGTCTCTCTCTGGTCTCTCTCTAGTCTCTCTCTAGTCTCTCTCTAGTCTCTCTCTAGTCTCTCTCTAGTCTCTCTCTGGTCTCTCTCTGGTCTCTCTCTAGTCTCTCTCTAGTCTCTCTCTGGTCTCTCTCTGGTCTCTCTCTGGTCTCTCTCTAGTCTCTCTCTAGTCTCTCTCTGGTCTCTCTCTGGTCTCTCTCTAGTCTCACTCTAGTCTCTCTCTCTGGTCTCTCTCTCTCTCTCTGGTCTCTCTCTCTCTGGTCTCTCTCTCTCTCTAGTCTCTCTCTCTCTAGTCTCTTTCTGGTCTCTCTCTCTGGTCTCTCTCTCTCTGGTCTCTCTCTCTCTGGTCTCTCTCTCCCTGGTCTCTCTCTGGTCTCTCTGGTCTCTCTCTGGTCTCTCTCTCTGGTCTCTCTCTGGTCTCTCTCTCTGGTCCCTCTCTGGTCTCTCTCTGGTCTCTCTCTGGTCTCTCTCTGGTCTCTCTCTCTGGTCTCTCTCTGGTCTCTCTCTGGTCTCTCTCTGGTCCCTCTCTGGTCTCTCTCTGGTCTCTCTCTGGTCTCTCTCTGGTCTCTCTCTGGTCTCTCTCTGGTCTCTCTCTGGTCTCTCTCTGGTCTCTCTCTGGTCTCTGTGGTTAGAATGTATGGTGAAAGTACAAGTACTGTAGAGCAGTACTCGAGTACATGCAG